TATCTAATTACTTATGTATTTAGTATTCCATAACTTAGTAACAGAGATGCTCAAACTAAAGTGGTAGAGACAGAATTCCTACAATGAAGCGGGACATTGAACTGTTCACCCGTGAGAGGGCGATCAACAAAAGAGAGCGAGCGGCCCCGTTGAGGGAGTTTACAGATGAGAAGACTCAGCCATGTTTATGCAGCACTGCACGTGGAGATGTGGTCTCGCAGATTACATAGGCCTACATGTATATAAACCTGCGGCGGAAACCCCTCTTGTCTGTCAGTGAGTGTGATTATTTTATAGAAGTAACGCGTGTCGGGGCAATGTTAGTAACTGTAGTGTGATTACAAAATTATAAAAGTAACGCGTTACACCCAACTCTGCTCATATCCCTCTATTTCACTTCCTGTTTCAAAAGTGCTGATTTGGGTATAAAGCTTTAAAAAAAATTGATTAAAAAAAAGGAGGGGGCTGAGCTCATGCGGGACCCGGCAGCTACTGTCTAAACTAAATGCTGCCGTGATGAAACACCATATCATGGATTATCAAGGATTCTCTCTGAAACAGTTTGGAGCTCAAAGGCTTTCTCTCTTGCCGGTTATACCACAAGGTGAGTTCCTTTTTACTTCCTGCTTCTTCACACACATGCTCTCCAGTACAGGTTAGCTCTGAGTGTTAGCGATGCTAATGTAAACACCAACCATATTACGTCCAAAACAGTCGGGCATTGTTTCTGATAGCAACGTTTCTGATTGGGCCGTGGGTCCACATTTCAGATATTACGTCATATCGGACGCAAATCTGGATCAGCTCCGTTGTTCCCCCGTTTTTAGAGATTTGGGTACGGAGGAAAAGAGAGAGGGTTTTATTTTCTGACACTGCGTGAGTTCCCCGACACACCGGGGACACATAGTTATGCATAAAAGACATCATAAAGTGCATTTTGCATGACAGGTCCCTTTTAAGCAATTTGTGTCCAGCTAAAATGATGCTAAAGGAATTTTTTTCAACTTTTCTCAAAGGTTAAAAAGGCAGCAATCCTTTGTTGAGTGGTTTGGAGCCAACTCAAATCGGACGGTCATGTTGACCTGTTCTGTATGCTGAGTATCCAAATGTGCAAAGATGCTAGCCATTAGCTCTCGATAATCCAGGCTTATTGCTCCCTAGTGGTAAAAAAACTAATCCATTTGGCATTTATGACCAATACACGGAAAGAAAAATGGTGACTCATATGGCAACATAATATTGGACATATTAAATTGAAATATATGTTTGTGTTATATTATATTGTGTAAGTCTTTACAGTGCAGCTCAGCAATACAGCGGTGTGTTTTCTTTCTGTCTTTTAAAAACTGCAAATCATGCTATCCAGTGCTACATGTAGCTCCCTCTCCCTGTAAGGATGCTGGTGGAGCAGCAGCCACTGCACGCCGTCTGAGACTAAATATAGCAGCGCTGTCTCAGACACAATGATGTCATCACTGAGCTGATGGCTGCACAACAATCACCCACCAATGTGATCTCCTGAACAAAAAAACCTGATTGATCCGAACCAATGGGCTGACAGCGTCGGATGTGGGGTTGGTTACATCTGTGTGTATGTGTATGTGTGTGTGTGTGTGTGTGTGTGTGTGTGTGTGTGGTGTGTGTGTGTGTGTGTGTGTGTGTGTGTGGTGTGTGTGTGTGTGTGTGTGTGTGTGTGTGTGTGTGTGTGTGTGTGTGTGTGTGCGTGCGTGCCTGCGGGTGTGTATAAGTGTGGCCGCGCCTTCACCTCTTTACCCCGGCTCCACCCTCCTCTCACTGACAGCTTGCGTGTCTTCATTCACTCACACTCTTCCTGAGCTCAGGCAGAGGCGTTACTCCACAAACACACGACTACCTCTCATCACTGCTGCCTCTGGTGTATGAAAGACACAACACAAAGAGCATGAACGCTTCCCAAATAAACACACACACGCACATGTAGATGCCAAGGTGTCTAAAACGTTGTAGGTTGTTGGGTTTTCTGGCTGCTCTCTGAATAGCACAGAGTTGATGTGTGGGCTTAGCCTGCACACGTCTGGCCTCAAGTATAGAGACTATAATCTGATGTTTGTTGTTCTGTTTTATTAATTCGATTTGAAAAATAAAAACTCCCTCTGGAGGGATCACAGGGATGTTAGCCTCTGCAGACCATTCACATGCACAAAAAACCACACTACAGGAAAGGGAAAACCCCCCTTTGAGGCAGCATGTTGATTTCTTTCATTATGCTTCCATTTCCAAAGAAAAAACAAACATACGTAATGTTAGCAAAGGGAATATTATGTGTTTAGGAGATTTAATGATAAAGAGAGATGAATGTATGACCCCATTACCCAGACACACAGATTAGATCTAATCCACTAATCTACAGCAGCACTACCAATCCAATGTGGGATATGTTTTACATTTCCAATGTCAATGATGCTTGACTCACTACTGGTCCCACAGGAAGAAAAGCCGATGGGGAATAAAAAGGTTTGGTAATCCATGAAACTGGTCTGCCTCTGGGTGATGCCTTCTTTGTTTGTGTTTGTCCTTCTGCCAAAAATGTGAAATGCATCGGTTACTGACTGCCTGAGGGTTTCTCATTGGAAAGTCCCACCTGAGAGCAAACAGCCAACAATTTATGAAAACACTTTACGTTAAATCCCCGCTGTCTTATACAGATCTGTCTCCAACTAGCATGCATATTATTTTATCCACAATTATTTTTGTTGAGTTAATTTAGGCCTTGTTACTAATTCACCAGCACCTACTATTGTATGATCTTGCTTGAAGTGAATATATCTGCACTTTCCTGGTTGTTCGGTGTTTGATCCTTTACAGCTTTTGCACTTATTGTATGTCACTTTGTATAAAAGCATCAGCTATAAAAAATGATATGTAAAAATGACATGTAATGTTGATTTAACCGAGAGATCTAGAGTTTCTCCACAAAGGATCATGCAAAAGCAATGATTTAACTATTGTGTTTTCCAGAGATGTGCTCTAAGTGTTTTGGAAATGAGAAAGAGAAAAAAAGAAATAAAGTACGTATCTACCTACCTACTTACCTACTTACCTACCTACCTACCTACCTACCTACCTACCTCTATACCTACCTACCTACCTACCTCTATACCTACCTACCTACCTCTATACCTACCTACCTCTATACCTACCTACTTACCTCTATACCTACCTACCTACCTACTTACCTACCTACCTACCTACCTACTTACCTACCTACCTACCTCTATACCTACCTACTTACCTACCTACCTACCTCTATACCTACCTACTTACCTCTATACCTACCTACCTCTATACCTACCTACTTACCTCTATACCTACCTACCTCTATACCTACCTACTTACCTCTATACCTACCTACCTACCTCTATACCTACCTACTTACCTACCTACCTACCTCTATACCTACCTACTTACCTCTATACCTACCTACCTCTATACCTACCTACTTACCTCTATACCTACCTACCTACCTACTTACCTACCTACCTACCTACCTACTTACCTACCTACCTACCTACCTACCTACCTACCTACCTACCTACCTACCTACCTACCTACCTACCTACCAATCTCTATCTATCTATCTACCTACCTACCTACCTACCTACCTACCTACCTACCTACCTACCTACCTATCTATCTATCTACCTAGATAAAATAAGGTTACAAAAAAGACATGTTATTGATGCATGCGTACAACATGACCTGAATACTAAGTGTATTGATCTGTCTAAATGTGGAAATGCCATATGTTGTTTTTGCAATATATATTGCTTATATGATCTGCGTAGGTTGACTGAGCCTAAGAAAATAAGCAAGTCTTCAATGTACTTATTATAAATCACAGGCAGCTGGTTTTTTAGTCCATCATTCACATTCCCCCCTGCCTTGAATTGGAGGGAAAACCTAGACACCTGGAGGATGCTTGTTTACTTTGTGCCCGATGCATGCCCTTTGGCAGCAAACGGCTCTAATGACAGAGACTGGATAATCTGCTGAGGGGTTGCATGTTTCCTCTCCTTGTGCACCAAATAAAACATAACATCCGATAATTAGGGCTGGATGTGGTTATGATCTGAACTTGCAGGGGGTGAGTGACGGGGAGAGGTTTCACACGACATGTTGGATTCCATTCCTGTTTTCTACATACAAATGAAGGGGCCTGTTTTGGCATGCGCTGTTTTATCAGATTAAAACTTTAGAAACCAAGAGGAGTGAATTTAAATGTTAAGGATATCCAGTTTCTCTTTCACCGCGCCACAAAGTCGGAGGGAGGTTGTGGGTAATGAGTCTCCCTAGGTAACACCATCGAGACACATTTCTTCAAAGATAAGGTCTGTGTGTTATTTTGTGACAGTAAACTGCAACATGTCCCATGAGAGAGGAAACCAAACAGACACGGTCCAAAAGAATGACATACAGATGAAATATGAAGCATGCTACTTGTTATTCATACTTACTTTATCCAAGGAATTGTTCTCAGGGTGATTGTTCAAGTTTGATTGTTCATAAAAATGCAGAGAGAGATATATTTGATGTTCCTTTGGCAGCTGAACAAACCTCCCAAGCTCAGAGACAGTAAACATTTGACTGAGAGCTTGACTTGTAGAACCATAAGGCAGCCAGTGTTTAAAATGTGGGACTAGGTTTTAATTAGATAACAACACAGAGAACATACATATGATGCTTTCGTATGAAATGAGAGAGTGCACATTGTTAAAGTAGTAGCTTAATGCTTCTTCTAGAAAACATAGCTTTTCAGTTTTGCATCAATTCTATGGTGCAACTATCTTATTTACTACCTTTTGGCAAATATTTAAAAATATGTTTCAAAAGATTCGGACTCCTACCATCTCTCTATAATGGCCATCAGAAACAAAAGTCTTTACAATAAGAACATGTTATCTTTTTAGTGAGCGTGCAGTTGGTGAATGCTTTAAACAGTTATTGTGAAAGAGGCGCCTCACCACAGCGGAGATGCGGTTGTGTCGCAGGTTGAGTTCAGTGAGACGGTGCAGACCCTGCAGGTTCTCCACTCTGCAGACGCTGTTTCCTGCCAGGTTCAACACTCGCAGCTCGCTCAGATGAGACACGCTTTCTATCCTGCAGATCTGTGTGAGAGCACAGAAACAAAGCACGACATAAAACAATGCAAAGGCAAGGCAAGGCAAGGCAAGTTTATTTATATAGCACTTTTCAACACAAGGCAATTCAAAGTGCTTTACAAAAAATGAAAGAGATTAAGAAAATGGCATTTAAAATCAGTCATTAAAAAGAAAAGCTAATAAAATAAACATTAAAAGAAAAAGTACATGGATAAAAGTTACAGTGCAGTTTAAGATGTGAATAGTTCAATTAAAAGCAGCGACAAAAAGAAAAGTCTTCAACCTGGATTTAAAAGTAGTCAGAGTTGCAGCGGACCTGCAGGTTTCTGGGAGTTTGTTCCAGATATTTGGAGCATAATAACTGAACGCTGCGTTACCATGTTTAGTTCTGACTCTGGGGACAGAAAGCTGACCAGTCCCTGAAGACCTGAGAGATCTGGATGGTTCATCATTTAGCAGGAGGTCAGAAATGTATTTTGGGCCTAAACCATTCAGTGCTTTATAAACCAGCAGCAGTATTTTGAAATCTATTCTTTGACACACAGGAAGCCAGTGTAAAGACTTCAGAACAGGAGTGATGTGATCCACTTTCTTAGTGTTAGTGAGGACTCGAGCAGCGGCGTTCTGAATTAGCTGCAGCTTTCTAATAGATTTTTTAGTGAGACCTGTGAAGACACCATTACAGTAGTCGAGTCTACTGAAGATAAAAGCATGGACAAGTTTTTCCAGATCCTGCTGTGACATTAGTCTTTTAATCCTAGATATATTCTTATATATTATTGCAAAGGGGAACATTTAGAGAGGCTCAGAGGGAGGAAGAACTAGCAGTGAATTACAGAGTGTATAGGTTCACGTATATTTAGAATATCTAAGCCTGCACACAGCTAATTGTTTTAGAGGTGCAAGAACATGCTACATTTTCTTCACAGTGCCTGAGGCTCCTGTTTCTGCTAAATGACAACACTCGCCTCATTTACCTCAGTT